GCAGGAATGCAAATTTGACAATAAAGCACCAACCAACATCGCCAGCATCATCAACCATGAAGATATCAACCTCGGTCCCATACAACGGCAGTGCAGTGCTGACCTGCCCGCTGACCACGAAAGGGGCTTTACCATCATAATCGGCCTTAACGTTTTACGTTAGGAGAGGCTAGGTTGGAACCGACAATGGGCTTTCTTATGGCGTCTAATGAGTTCAGATAACTTCCATACGGCGGCAGTCCGACGCTTCCTTGTATTTTGACCTTAATAATATGCTCTTTAAGCTTTTGTCCACCACAATGGTCTCTGAAGTTAAACGTTTTGGTATTCCTGACAGAAATCAACAACGGGCTTTGTAATGACGGCTAATTGGTACAGATCGGTTCCATACAGCGCCAATGAGGTGTTGTTCCGTCCTTTGCATTTTAAGTTGACCTCAGATTTTGACTCTGAATCTGGTGCCTTTGGGACCCCTTGCTGGAACTGATGACTGACTTACAGATGATGCCCTATTTAAAGATATGAGAACCATGCAGCGGCGGTATGACGCTATCCCGTCACTACGTATTTATTTCGTATTTATTAATATGGCAGAATATTGAATAATTGTGAGAATCGCTGTTGCCATTGCCAATAACACTGAGAGCAAATTGGCCTGCTAATCTGTCTCGGAGAGGTCTGAGATTCAATAACGGGCACGACTCAGCGCAATGCTGAGCTTTCGGCGACATACCTCCCCGTCACACAGTACGCTCCTCACTCTCAGACGTCAGACGTCAGACTCTCATAAACTGTTTCACACTTACACTTTACCTTGTCAAAACACGACACAGGAATAAAAGCTGAAAACGTTTCACGCACAAAAAGCAATCCCGGACCGCGATCGATCCATCGTCAGCACGTTTATCAGCACCAGTCACTACCCAGTATTTTCTCTACGTCACGTGACCGCAAAGTCACGTGGTTTGTGGCACCGCGCGCCGTCTGACGCCGCTGCCAGGGCCCCGTTCGATCTGTCGTCGGCATGACTGTCGGCGGTATGTGTGACGGCATACGTGCTGACGGAGCGTTCGGTGTGCGGGGTGATGGGAAAGTCTTCAACTTAACCTTCTTTTTTCTTTTACTTTTATCTACTCCAGTTCAGACCACGCTCTAACTCTGGCGTACCACCGACTATGGCACACCTATAAAGTGGTGTTTGGAAGTGTGGCTCCTGTTCCGGCATTACCAGCAGCTATCCCATCGGCAAGTCAAAGGCTTTTCTTTGACTTCTGGCTGGCTCTTCAAAGGCTTCAAAGTCAAATCCCATTCTCATGTCATTTAATTTCTTCTCTTTTCATTTTAAGCGTTCACTCAATTTTTGTGTGGAAAAGGTCTATCGATCCTTCACTGCTGCTATCGCTAAGGCCTATCGATAACAACTTAACGATATTTCACCGGACACGGTAACTCACACTATTGTCGCACACACGATAACACTATTGGTTTTCGGGGAGCGCAACTACACCACACCAATTAATGTCACCAATCTTTTCGTGGTTACGCATGGCACTTCAATTTCCCCCTTATCTATCCAATGTCGCTTTCTCCCAAAATTAGAGATAAGTGCCCCCACCCAAGGCAATATGCACGCCAGCCCCACCTAAGGTGCTCGCAAACGCAAGAGCTACCGAATCGAAGTCCCGCTTCTTTGTCGGTGCGATTTTTACCCGCTAGTCAGCGAAGCGCGTTTTCGCTATGCTGACGGGCTAACATAAAATTCTGGCAGCAGCGTCAGCAAGTGCGTGACGTCACAGATCACGTGAGTTTGTAGTCACGTGACGTGACGCACGCAGAATACTGGACCGTAATTGGTGCTGACAGACGTGCTGACGAAAGACCGAACGCGGCCGTTGTCTACAGGTAGAAGTTTGATAACATAATGAACTACATGCCAGTATAAGTAGCAATGAAGGGTCGATAGATTTTTTGTACAAAAATTGAGGCGAACACTTCAAAATGAGAATGGAAGAAATTTAAATGAGATGGGGATAGGACGAAGCACTCAACCTGCGAATGGGATAGACGATGGTAATTCCGGAGCAGGAACCACAATTTCACACACTATTGTAAGACTAAAGACAGTGTGTCATGGTCGGCGGTAAACCAAATTTAGTGCATGGTCTGAGGGAGTTAAGAGGTAAAGGGAAAAAGGAAACTAAAGTTAAAAACTTCCCATCAGTTCGCCCACCGTCAGCACGCATAACGTCACGCATTTCAGCCGACAACCGTGCTGACGACAGATCGAACACGGCCCAAGACTTCGGACCAATGTGCATCTATACCGGCAGATATAAAAGCACCACAGATGCCACTCATAGCAAAAATGTGCTGCAAAGCCACCAAGTTAGGGAAGGAACTAAACTGCCAACCAAGCTTATTGACAGCCCCATGCTCCGAGACTATGGCACGGATTGACATGAAACCTTCACCATTCGATGCCGCTTGATCGATAACCTGTCCTCTCTGGAATATGATGACCTTGGGTCACATCAAAGGTCACAAAAATTCAAAAAGCGGAAAAATAAGTTTGCCGACAGCCCCATGCTCCACGCCCATGGCACCGATCGGTATGAGACCTTAACAATCGATGCGTCATAATCGATATCCTATCCTGTTCAGAGCATGGTGACCCTGAGTCAGGTCAAACGTCACCAAAAAACGGCCGAAACCACCAAAATAGGTTGCAGAGAACCCCATGCTCCGTGCCCATGGAACTGATCGCCACCATGCCTGTACCAAACGATATACCATAGTCGATAATCTGTCCCTTTTCAGAAGATGGCAACCTGGGGTCAGGTCGAAGGCCACTAAAAACGTCCAAAACCGCCTGGAATTAATTTGCAGACAAACCCACGCTCCGAACCTCTGAGACTGATCAGCACCAAATCTTCCAATGAGACTGATCAGCGAGTCAAAGGAGCCTTCTAAGCTGTCATTGATCTCTTGATCACTTGATTGATCATTGAACATTTTCTCGAAGGTGATCCCGGCACTGCTGTTAGGACACTATCTGCTTCCATGCCTAGGCACCATGGATCGACCAGGGGCCATCCACGTATTCTTCCCAGTCGCCCGAAAAGCTCTATACGCTTCTTCCGGGGGCCCATACGCTAGGGTACTCAAATGCCCAGGGGCCTTCATATTAGTTTCGGGTGTGGCCTTGGGTAATTCACCTTTGCTCAGAGGGTCCCGTGCACTGGCCGGGACCTTAATGTCAGCCTGCTGGGCATTACCGATCGTTTAGGTTCTTCCACGTTGACCTTGGGTTCTTTTCGCTTGCTCTGAGGGCCGTTCCTATTTTTGTTGATCGAGGCCTTTTTGTTGGCCCAACGCGGCATCCACGATCGCACAGGTTCCGTCTGTAATGACTTTGGTGCTTAGACTTAGAGCAGCAGTCGGATATACGCCGATGATTTTTTGCGCGCAATTGTCGAACATAATTTTACGTGTCGCTGACGTCGTGTTATTTCCCTGGGATATTGAGTGTGACACTTGTCATGCTTGTGGAACCCGTTTTTAACACGTTTTGAATGCTAAGATGTTTTGTACTCCTTACTAACAACAAAAAATTCTGCATTAGTTATTAGCCATCAGCTGATTACATCGCCCAGCCTGCTAGAGATAAACAAGCTAGAAATGAAGTACGCGCTTGGTTTTGGTGGTACTTAGCAGTCAACTTGAGCTTATTTTGCCTGCTGTTCCGAGACACTTAGCCTCAGAATCACAGGACTCAACATGACACGGAGAAAATGAGTGGGCTGCATGTCTGCGCACGCGTAGCATGTCTGGCTTTGTAAGGCTGCGCTCGGTAGGATGGGTTCCCATGTTTACTACTATATATATATATATATATATATATATATATATATATATATATATATATATAGGTCTGATGTCTGCAAGGTTATTGAAACGTACAAAAATCCTTGATATTTCGCCAAGAATGAGCAGGGTTAGCTGTCATATCAGGCAATGCTGGTTATCTGTCAGGCAGTAAAATGAAGGCGAAGTACCTCCATTTCACGTGACGTGCTACTCTTGTGGGGAGAAATGAGAGTGAAAGTCGTGTCTAGTCAAAACATGCACTAAGATCCATTGCTTTCCCCTGGCTCAATATTTGCAATGCCGACCTTGCCACCACCGTTGTGCTGCACACCTTCATGGATACAGCAGAATAAGCGCGGTTGGTACCCAGCTCGTTGGCTGATTTCACTGCACAGCACAGTATAGAACGCCAGCCCGTTGGGCACCGAACTGGATTCCCAGCTGGCACACTGATCCGGGCTGACTCCAGTCCACTGCGCCGGCATCCTCGCAGCGAATCAGACAAAACAATAAGACATCGGTGTATTCGACACATTACTGAACACGTCTCCGCCAAATAAAGCGATGCGTGGCCCGGCGCTGAAGAGCGGCGTCCGGCGCAGCGTGATCTGGCCGGGGTAAATAATATCACAGAGCGTCAGCGGCTAGCCTGGGCTGGGGTCAGCAGGCTGGCAGGCTGGACGCCGAGCCGCCCGGCCAGCCGTGCCGGCTAGCGCACCGACTCACCAGCAGCCGGGCGCGCCGCACGGCGCATCGACACTGGCACCGACCACGGCAGGGGGGCCCCGACCGAGTGGGCCGGCGCCCTGGTCACGCGGCACCGCACCGGCACTGTCCGGACAGCCTGGTGCCCCCCCCCCCCCCCCCGTCCCTCCCCCGGTGACGGAGTGACACGTTCGAGATTCGCCGCCACGGATCTGGTGAGAGAACGCGTGCCTCCGATGTCAGCTGCTGCTAAAGCTAGTGGTGCGCCTGCCCTCCGGCTGGTCCCGGTGGCCGCACGCAGCGCTCGGTGCCTCGAGCCGGTCACCAGCCGGACCGTCCGGGGGCGAGGCCACCCAATAGGAGCAGCGGCCGGCGCACGGGACCGGGCCGGCGCACGGGACCGGCCCGGCCGCAGGCCGGCAGCGGGCGGCAGCGGCGGCCGTGCGCAGCTGATGGCCGGCTCGGACGCGACGCTCAGCCGGCCGTGTTGAGTGTAGCCGCCGCGTACTCGGTGCCGTGCAGACCGCGGCACTGCTGACTGAACACGGCTATCTTGCTGCGCAGGAACGTCTTGTTGTTGCGGTTTCTGGAGGCAGGGGATTCGCCGTTAAACTCGGCCTTCGGTTTCCGGTTGTCAATAACACAACACAACACGAGATGAACAGATGGCATTGGTATGTTTTGGCTCCAGTCATAAACAACTCAACAGAGCAAGAAATAACGCAGAAAGCCAGCGTTCATGTAATGAAGATTTCAAAGATTTCTCAGGTTTCTGATCAAAGATAGAAGACTTCGGGCGAATGCTTTCAAGCTGACTTGTTCAAGCCATCAATAAATCCATAAGGTGTCGTAGAAGATAGAACAACCAGGCAGGCAACAAGACTCCTCCAAGACCGGTGGCGAAATTATTCACAAGGAACATAGCCAGTGCTGAGTGGCGGTAGTGGCGTAGCCAGTGCTGAGAGTGGCGATAGTGGCGTAACCAGCGCCACCCTCAGCCCGAGCGGTGGTTCTGACCGGAATTCCAGCCAAGTTTAACTTGTCCGCAAAAATGCCAGGAGACAAAACATTGCCCTGATCACGGGCACCAGTTCGGCGCCGACGCTGTGACCCCGCCAAGCGCGTACGCGGCGCGCCGAGTACTAACTGGAGCACGTGTTTAATAAAGGCCTTCTTGTCGCTTGAGGTGACTCTCCGGCTGGGGAAGGCGTCCTGGGCCAAGATGGCGGCCAGCCACCGGCTGAGCTGGCCGGCGTTGGCTCGGTTCAGCGCCAGTAGTACGTCGGCCGTGTGGTCCACGCAGTCCCGCGGCACCGCACCGCCTGAGGGGAGTACACCGGCCGGGCGGCGGTCAGGCACGGCACGGAGCACGCAAGGCACAGGTGGACGCGGGAGGTGACACACCGCGCCGCCTGAGGGGAGTACACTGGCCCGGTGCCACAGTCAGGCACGGCACGGGGCACGCGCGGCACAGGCGGGCGCGGGAGGTGACACACGGCACACACTTGGGCAGCGGAGCCACGCGCTATCACTACAGGCGGCATACATGATACATGTTTGACGTTTCAGTTTTGACGTCTGTTCGATTACGACGGAGGGCTGTAGTAGTCTTTGATTGTAGTAGTCTGTTACTACTGCAGTCAAAGGATGGGGGTTGGAGAGGGGAAGAAGAAGACCCGCTGGAGAGGAGGTCCGACCGCGGATAGGCGCTAGTAGTCCGCATGAGGACATGACTGAGGTACGCATGCTTTACCTGCTCTCACAAACGACGGGACCGCAGGGAATGCTACACTGCCGTGCGTCTCGCTGTACGCTGCACATGCCGAATAATGAATGCCTCAGGCGCCGCAGCCATCCCCATCCAGAAGGATGAACCGAGGTACACTGAGCAGCGTCACGCGTTGATGAGTTCCGCATAATGTGGTACATCACGGTCCCCGTGCGTTAGCCAGCCTGCCCCACCGCACCAGGATCTCAATGATGGCATCCGGTGACGAAAGCTCCATTGGTCGATGTTTTTTTACGAGATGAGCACAGCACATACAAACATTGCTTTACCTCTTAACAGATTATTCACAAATATTGAAGCTACGCGGAAGATGCCGTTTTAGGTCGCAATCGTTAGGAGCAAACAGCCCTTCAATCTGTGGGCAACAAGACGCGACCTTTTCACTTTCCCTCTGGGCAGTAAAACGTTCACCTCCGGCCCGAGACGGTTCCGTTACGCCCCAAAATACCGTCACTGCAGATTACGACGTGCATTGCTGATTACGACGCGATACCGGCTATGGCGCCAGTTCCACACTCACGTGGCATCACCTCATGACCCGAGGAAACACCCAACCCAGGAACGTACCAATGACGGGCGATACGCGACGGCCCACAGCAGACGCCACACGAGGGCCCAAAGCAGGTGACGCACGGGGGCCCAGAGCAAGTGACACACGAGGGTCCACAGCAGGCGACACACGAGGGCCAGAGCAGATGACACACGAAGGCCAGAGCAGATGACACACGAGGGCCAGAGCAGATGACACACGAGGGCCAGAGCAGATGACACACGAGGGTCCACATGAGGCGACGCACGAGGGCCAGAGCAGATGATACACGAGGGTCCACAGCATGCAACACACGAGGGCCAGAGCAGATGACGCACCAGGGCCCAGAGCGGGTGTCGACCGGTGTGACATCGATGACACCACACGGCCGGGACCGGTGGCGGGCCGACGACGGTCACTCACCGATCGCTCGCAGCAGGTTAGAGACGAGCCGGCCGCCGCCCTGGTCCAGAGTGGAGGCGAACAGCTGGCTGTCGGCGGCCTTGGCGGCGAACTGCGCCAGGAAAGACGCGGCCGAGCGCATCACGCGCCGGTCCGACTGGCACACACACTCGCAGGCTGCCGGCGGAGGGGGTAGCAGTCCGGATCATACGGCCGGCAAGTAGGCCGTGCACGACAGACGGGGCACAGTGCACACCGACAGCGAACATAAGCGACTGCAACCGCTAAACGTGACGCGTCGTCACTTTGTCTTTCCATGGACGCTAACAGCCATACCTAGTTTACAAAACCTAGTTTACCTAGTTCTACAAAAAAATCGTAACCTCACGACATGCAGTCATGTCGTGAGGTTATACAGTCATTTAGTCATAGAGTAGAGTATCGTTAGTATCATTTAGTAGTATCGTAGTACATAGAGTATCGTTTTCTACGCACCCACGGTCCAATCATAAGGCTTCCTACCCACCCACAATTGTGCTTTCTACCCACCCACAGGCCAATTATGCTTCCCACCCACCCACAGGCCAATCATGAGGGTTGCGCCTGGCCAGCGGCTCTACAGCCGACCGGCGACACGCTGTGAATACCGGCGCCACGCACCGAGCAGGAACAAGTCGTTCAGCTGAGCGGTCACGCCCGCAATGTACACCGACTGCTTCTTCATCAGCTGCGCTAGAACCTCGAGGAACTTGACCAGCGCCTCGGGAAAGCGTCCGAGGTCGCCGGCGAAGTAGCGCAGACTGCCGGCGCACACCTGGCCGAACACGGCCTGCATCACCGGGCCCAGCGGACCATCCAGCCGGAACGTCAGCAGCATCTGAGATCAGCCGGACCGCAGGTCACCGATACACCAGGTCACAGCCCTCTATCAGAAGCTGAGACGAGATGAGACAAATATGTGGTCAAAGGGCAACTGATGCATCGCTGGACGCATCGCTGGCCACCGAGACGGACCGCTCTCCGCACGTGGGGTGGTACGGGTCAGCTGCGATTTCTCACCCCACTCCTGCTAACCTCTGCTCTCAGTATGCGGTCGTTGCTGTTTTTACCACAGGTGGGTGGCCGGGCCTGGCATCAATGTCCGGCTCAGATTAACGGAATAATCACGAGTCCGATCACAGACCGCAGACAGCTGTCACACACCATAGGCCATAGACAGCCGTCACACATACCAGGCCCCAGACAGCCATCACACGCCTCAGACCCTAGACAGCCATCACACGCCTCAGGCCCTAGACAGCCGTCACACGCCCCAGACCTTAGCCAGCCACCACACGCCTCAGGCCCCAGACAGCCGTCACATGCCCAGGCCCCAGACAGTCATTGCACACCCCAGGCCCCAGACAGCCGTCACACGCCCCAGGCCCCAGACGGCTGTCACACGCCTCAGGCCCTAGACAGCCATCACACGCCCCAGGCCCCAGACAGCCATCACACGCCTCAGGCCCTAGACAGCCATCACACGCCCCAGACCTCAGCCAGCCGTCACACGCCTCAGGCCCCAGGCAGCCATCACATGCCCCAGGCCCCAGACAGCTATAACCCACCGCTGGAAAGTGCCAGTGGGCGTAACCACACTAACCTGCCGGACCAGGTCGAGGACCTGCGGGTGCGGCTCCTTCGAGTAGAGCGTGCTGAGTACGGTGAGCGCCGGGTCGACGAACGGCTCCATGCCGTCGCCCAGGCTGGCCATGGTGCGCTGCAGGAAATGGCAGATGCACTGGCCGGATAGGGCCAGATCAGGTTAGGCCACCGTCACCCTCAGCTACCCCGGCCGGTGAAGCCGTGTCGAACAGATCATCGCGCCGTCAGATGAATGGCGCATGGATCAGCTTCAAAAATGGCGTACCCATCCTATACATTGTCGAGCTGCCCAGCTCTCGGTGGCCTGAGGTTCTGGCGTCATAGGTCCGTTCCGGCACATCAAACAGACATGTTCAGTTACAGCAAGACCACGCCATGAAAACAACTCAACCTGCACACCATAGCACAAAACAGCAGGGGTCCTAATCCAGCGCAGATGCGCGTAACAAAAAGAACAAAACAAAAAACAAAACAAAAACAAAAAAACACGTAACGCTGAAACGGCACCCCACACGCTACTGATCCACAGCAAATAGTGTAAAACTTATCGATGATGACTGGTTCTTAAGGGCATGTCCACGTCCAACAGACAGCGACAGACTCTCGTACACAGGCTCGCGTGCCCAGTGTGCTCACCTCTGCCATGACCTCGTCCTCGGCGCTGCACGAGGCCAGCACGAGCAGCGAGGGAAGCGTCTCCCGCAGCAGCAGCAGCAGCGGGTGCACAAACTGGCCAGCCGTCTGCTCCGGCTCCTCGAAGCAGAGCGATGACGCTAGCGAGGCGAACATATTGACGCGCACGACCAGCAGACTCTTGTTGCTGACCACCTTCTGCTGCCGGAGGCGGGGACGGGCCGTCAGCTGGATGGACCGCGGTGGCCGTCTGCTGAGGTACGCGCCGCCGGCAGGCCAGACTGCGGTCCATGACGCCAGTGCTGTGCTCCCGCCAGGCCCCACACACAGACGGATCAGGCGCCGCCCGCCGAATGTAACAGCTATACCGCCGGCAGCTGCCGGCTGCGCTACCACTCCAGAGACCCGCCGTATCTGACGTCCGACTCACCTGATGCAAACAACGCAGTAAATGCTCCCCGCACAAGAACAGCGGGTTCACAAGGTCGGTGGACGATATCCAGCTGCGGGGCAGCCGGCGGTGGCTGGTGCCTTACCGAGCTTTTTTCGTCCAGCAGTTGTTTGAACTCCTGGACGAATGGCCTAACGATGTCGTCCATGCCTTTGAGTCGCTCTTGATGGTCGGCGACGAAGCGAAGGAGAGCGCCGACAACGTACATCAGACGCACACACTCCCGACCCGACAGCCGGCCGCCCTGCAGAACATCCTGCAGGAAAAGGTCACACGTCACACACCTCCAGCCGGGACAGGACACATGTCACACACCCCCTGCCGGGATAGGTCACATGTCACACACCTCCTGCCGGGATAGGTCACGCGTCACACACCTGCCGGGACACGTCACACACCAGCCGGGATAGGCCACACGTCACCCACCCACTGCCGGGATAGGTCACGCGTCACACACCTCCTGCCGGGACAGGTCACACGTCACACACCTGCCGGGACACGTCACACACCAGCCGGGACAGGCCACACGTCACCCACCCACTGCCGGGATAGGCCACACGTCACCCACCCACCGCCGGATAGGCCACACGTCACACACCTGCCGGATAGGTCACACGTCACACACCTCCTGCCAGGACAGATCACACGTCACATACCTTCTGCCGGGACAGGTTACATAATGTTGGGCGAGACAAGTCACACTTCACATGTCACGACAGCGCAGGTCACACAACGCCTTGTCAGTATATGAACACACCGTTTGTATGCATGGCGAATGCGTCGTTTGCGCACAAACGCAGCAAAATTCATCAGTTGGCTGGGCTGCCGCGACGTTATATAACAGTATTTCTTACGAAGTCAATAAACACCCCTGTAGCTGGACATTACGCAACTGCTAATGACTCATTACCCAGCCTACAGCCACAGCAAAAAGCGGGGCGCATGTATGCGGGAACCTGGCGCCAGTTGACAACCTATGGACCTACTAATTGACCGCAAACCATGTATTGCGACGGCTTTCACCGTTAGGCGGAGCTGGTATGTAGCTATCTGGCCATGCGGTACAGTACTACTGTCTCAGCCAGGCACAGCTTCCGAAACAGCAGGATCTGGACCAGCACTGGTCCCGCAGACCAACTGGAACTCGATCTGCCTCAGTCAGGCACACCTTCCGAAACAGCAGAATCTGGACCTGCACTGGTCCTGCAGACCAACTGGAACTCGGTCTGCCTCAGTCAGGCACACCTTCCGAAACAGCAGGATCTGGACCAGCACTGGTCCTGCAGACCAACTGGAACTCGATCTGCCTCAGTCAGGCACACCTTCCGAAACAGCAGGATCTGGACCTGCACTGGTCCTGCAGACCAACTGGAACTCGATCTGCCTCAGTCAGGCACACCTTCCGAAACAGCAGGATCTGGACCTGCACCGGTCCTGCAGAGCAGCTAGAGCTCGATCAGCCCAACATGCGTAAATGGCCAGGACCTTGCAGACCACACCTAGCCTGACCTTGCACGCAAGGTCGCGTCCTAGACTGACATTTCAGATCGGCGGAACGCGTCATGACCGCTTAGATCAGCAGGACCTTGACTGACCTTGGGTGCTGGCACCACCTGGCGCCGGACTAGTCGCCCGGATAGAAGGGCATGCATTGACGTTTCATGCAAGCAGTTCTCTGCCTGACCTAGGTATGACCTAGACTGACCTTGCAGGCGACCAGGACGGGAGCGGCGTGCGGCGCCATCGAGTGCGGCGCCTCCTGACAAATGTCCTTGAGCGCCATGGTGGAGTAGAGCGCCACATCCGCGTCCGCCAGGCCGGCCAGCAGCATCGGCAGCAGCTTGTCCAGACAATCCGGGTGCAGGTCCAGACACGGGCTGTTCGAGTCTGCCAGAAACAGACGATCTCGTTGTCAAACGAGGCGACATGCCGCTGCCCGCCGCCCCGACGCGGAACAAACGCGTCAAACGAGGCGGCGTGCCGCTGCCCACCGCTCCGACGCGGAACAAACGCGTCAAACGAGGCGACATGCCGCCGCCCTCGTCAGGGTCACAGAACAAATGTGCGCAGGGCAACACACGTGCGGCGTGAAATGCCAAGCTGGGAACTGACACGGAGCATGAATTGCTGAGAAGAGTGCGAGTGCTCATCTAGAAAACGCCTCGAAACCAAGTGCTTGCACTGAAGTTAGCGCAGCCCAGGCGGCACGCAGCTACCGTTCGCAGGTGTCGTCCGCGGAAAACTACAGGTGAGATCGAGGTGGGCTTTTGGTAAGCACGGAGCTCATGAGTTATCACATGACGCTGCGCATGTCACCTTCACTCAACCTCCACCAGCTTTCGACGAAATGCATGCGGCACAGTTTGCAGCCTGCGTAACACAACTTATACTTTTAACATACTACAAGGCATCAATGACTTGGTAAATTCCATCCAATTATTCACATGACACCTTAAATAGTTAACTGAGGAGTTTCTTATGGGATACGCTGTTTTATATACTATAATGGCTATGAAAAAAGCTTCCAGTTTAACCAGCTTGCGTGGGCTGGTTCACTATTTCAAAAATACTTTGGATTATTGATGCTGGATTTATGTATATTGGCGATGTTGATGCTCCTGGCGGTAGTGATCGTATGCTATATGCACTGTTTGTCAGGAAGCGATCGTTTACATAAATAATGCATGCATTTTTCAGTGAAAGAATATATAGAACCCAACACCTGCCTGCTAGAATTCCAGAGGAAGGGCCTAATTTGACTGAAAAAGGCGCTAATATCGCTCTGTCTCGAACAGTCCTGGTTACCACTGATCATGGTGACGTCACAGCCGTCAGTCAGTCGGACAGTCACGCCGGCCGTCTCAGTCGGCGAGGGCGACACTTCGGCAGCCACAGTTGGCGAGGGCCAGTTCACCGAGTGGGCGGGATGGACAGTCGTCATGTTGGCAATCGTCGCGAAGGTTGTGGTTAGACCGGTACATTCGGCAATGGTGACGCTGCCTCGTCACCGTCACGAACCCGCCGGCTACCGCGGTCAGCTGGCGATGGCACTGGCCGTCACAACAGAGCCGCCACAGCTGGCGTCACACAGCGTCAGTGATCGATAGCCATTGCGATGCCGTATTCATGAACGGCGACTGATTGAAATGAGCCGTCATGCCATCATGTATGGAGTGGGCGGATAATCATTAGCCGTAAATATTGAAGACCAGTTTGCTGAAGATAATGGGGAGTGGGGGATATACCGGAGGGTGGTATGATGGTCGAGCGTTGATTTCGTTGCCGAAAACAGCGAAGGTCTGCGCATGTGACACTGCTATAAACGCGCCGTCGGTCGCACGTTCAGTGCTAAACGCGCACATGCGGTACACACGGATACAAGAGGCGACAGAGCCGAGTGTGGGAGGTGGATATGAAGGGGACGACTGGAGCTTCGTCGGCTTCGCCCGAGTTATAAATCAGATGGAGGAAGCGGCTGTTTGCACAGAAACGTTCTGCTGGATTCAACTGTCTCATTTCCTACACATTTCAAAACAGCGCCTCTACCAATAATCCCAGAACCGGCCCGCATACATACCCTTGAATATTTTGTCACAGGAATATGTTCCGATTTGCCCCACCTTGCTTCTGGTGGGGCAATATTCCCGGCTTTCTGGGTGCAATACCCAATTTGTGCCTGGATGAAGGGCACGTTCGGACCAAACGCTGTCGTTTGAGAGTCCGCTGGACAAAAGAAATCATGGACATTCCACGTCCCGCGCATGGATGCACCCGATGGTCCCGTAGAATTCGATAGACATTCACGGCACGAGAAAACATCTATATTATATAGATGCCAGATAAACTCATTTCAAAGCGCACTGGCAAGAGGTCATCTACAAATTACGTTACGCATGGAGCGGGAGGAGAAGGGGTGATGAAGGGCAAGCGAAGCCTAGCAAAGAGGGGGGCGGGGGGGGGGGGGGGGGGGGGTAGTAACGTTGCGCTCAGGCGTGGTTGCAAATCATTTTGAAATATTTTCGAAGTACGTTTTAACAACGTAACCATGGGGTCCCGCCAGTGTAGCTCGCGCGCAACCAAAACAAAGGGAGTCTCTGTCAAAGGCGTCAAAGCAATGTGTAACGCTATTCATGGACGTCATTTATGGCTGGCCTCTACTCCCATATATTTTTCCGGCACGACGTTGCCAAGAATCAGCTTACGCGATTTGCGATATTCAAACACCTGACGCTGCCTCATTCTGTCGCACATGCAGTATCTGCGTTGTGACCGGACCTCCACGTGGGACAACACGGGCCCTCGAAGGACCCGCCTGACGCGTCCGCCTGTGCACCAACGCTGACCGTGACGTAGTGACCCAAGATCACCACACGTCGCTCCTCTGCCGACTCTGTCAGAGCCGGAAAATGCCGAGAGGGCCACACGGAGGTCGTGCGTCGCTGGCACACGCCTTCTGTGGTGGACAGCAAATACCGACGCGCGCTGCACTGCATCTCCGTGCACCACTGTACGCAGAGTCCGGGTCGGCGGCACATACAACACTGCTCTGCTCACGACGCCGCGGTCAATACCGGTACATGCGGCCCGGTATGATGATTTCAGGCTCATCGCATGGAGAGCATACTCATACCAGGCTTCAGTTCGAGGTTAGGCACATGTACGCCGGTTCCATCGTTGTCGTTCACTGGATAAAGCACCACTTCTCGAGACGTCTTGTGCCGCCACGTGTTTGGCCAGCCGGTCGACAGCCTGTTCCTTACCTCACATGTCACGTGATCAGAACGCACAAACAGATTTTTGCATCTCACTGCCCATTGTCCCCACATCTTCGTACCAGAGTACTTTATTTTTTACCCCGTATGCAGCCTTGGGCCGGCCGAGGGCATACTTACTTTGTTACAGGTCACGTAACCACACGGTTAATGCAATCAGACCCCTCGACCAATAGCAGATAGTTCAGCCAAACTGCCAGCGTTCCTAACTTTTCGGACTAAAGCCTTCTACCTGGTGCACAGTCTTGGAAAATGAAATGCAATTCAGTTCACCGGATACCATTGATTTCAACTAGAGCGATACGGAGCACACTACCAGACTTGTCCTCGATCCAGATTTCCTTGTCTGGGTAGAGTCGCTTCTGAATCTGAATAAACGCGAATATTCATTATCACCAGTCCGAACGTGACAGCGTGGTCATAAAGAACCACCTGTCCCACGACACCTCTGTGCTTCCATTGGTTCATGAGATGTACCAGTTCCGGTGTACTGCAGGCGACTGTGCGCTCCGCAGACGCTGCCTGGCGCGCTTCAAGAACGGGACCACCAGCGAGCGTTCCAAGCGCGGCAGAAGCGCTGGCAGTGGTGTCACGCTCCGAGAGGTAACTACGTCGAAGGCGACGGCGGCCAAATTGAAATCGAATCCACTTCCTGCCTTTTTAGTGTTGTCTCGGAACTTTTAAGATCGCCGTGTGCAAAATAACTATACCCCAATGAATATCGCAGCCTGTCAGGCGACTGTCTTTTACGAAACAATGCAGAGCTTTTATAATGCACCTGTATGAGGGAACAGGCGCAAACTACTGCACACAACGATGTTTAGCAGGGAATGGCATGACATATGAACACTACAGTTCAGATATAGAAAATTTTTGATTCTGTCGCAAAATGTGAATAAATTCCGAACAGGATTCGCACAAACAGCCGGTGGAGCCGAATCCAGTCCCGGACAAAACGGAAGCAGTCCCGGGATCAGATGCGACTTTGCCAGTTCGACTCACGCCTAAACACAACTGCGAAGTTTCAGAGAATAGTTAAGCAAGCAAACGCGACAGAAAATGAAAGAGACCCTCAGAGTGAGACTGCCTCACGCGATATTTCGCGATTGTGGAAATAACGCGCACGTGCCCCGGTGCAGCATAACCGCGTGCAGAACAAATAGCCCGTCGCAGCAGCCACTGAAACAAGAACGTGGGACTGGAGGCAGACAATGCAATATTTCATTAATTTTGCGATGGGCAGTCTCATGATAGGTCCGTGGTGCTACGCAGAACGCACAACCCACACAGCTGCCACGCTGAGCCGGGACCCCGCTGGGGACGGGCCGCCGCCTAGGCTGGGGACGGCGGTGGCCAACGCCGTTCTGCGGGACTGCCATTCCGGCCATTGCTGTCCTTGCTCCCGAGATCGCGGGCGCGCAGGCTCAAACCCTTTGATGCTATTTGATTTACTTGAAGATTCGGCAAAAGAATGACCGCCCTTATGGGAAACATGGAATGAATATAATTGTTTATTTTTAACTCATTTCGACCCTATCTGTTCAACAATCATGGGACCTCTTACCGCTTTTCGGGCAAGGGGCCCCTTGAGTCTAACACTAGGAGAGGCGCATTCTTGTTTCCGGTCAAGGGCTGAAGGGCCATTCCGTCCCATCGCGGGGCGTCCTCCGGTCGCCATTCTGACGACACGGGGCGGAATTCTCTCGTCGATCCGGAGGCCCTTAGAGGGATAAATCACCTTGGCCTTCTCACTGATGCGGAAGGCCTTCTGAACGCGCAGTCCTTGACACAACGATATCCCTGATCGTCGCAGGTAGTCCGATGATTGGCACGTAAGACTAATCTGGCTTAATGGGCCCAAGCTGAAACTGAGTTGTAGGGCTCAACGTTCGGCACTCGGGATACTGACCGACACAGGGCCGTTCCACTGTCTCATTATGAACGCTCATAAGTTCTGGTATTTTCTTTCATTGCCAGAGGTCCCCGACCAACGTAAGAGGCCCTCTGTCCTCTAAGATTCCGTCCCCATGCCTGTTGAGCCAACGTTCTCCTGGCCGATGCGAGGCCCCTTGCTGACACAGGACCCCCTGTTAGGCACTGCGGGCCCCTGGCCATCTCGGCAGACCTGGCCCCAAGTCCGGTACGAGCCGAGCGCCGCGGCAACAATCACAGCACCGACCACTGCCAGAGGAGAGCTGAACAGGTTCCTATCCCAGATCATACATATGCCATATGTCACATCCAAGGCTGGTAAGACGTGCGTAATACCAATCGAGACTAAAAGAAATCGGTACAGAAGCACACTGGGAGGCGTTTATAAATCAACAGTGCCAGCTGAAACTAAAACAAGCTTGCACCACACCAAAGCGTAGACACTTTAGCATAACTAACGGGAAACAGTGAACGCCTTTAAAGGCCTAATGTGCGTGGTAAATTGTTCGTAGTTTTATCGTTCACTTGGTACGGCGGACTGCGCAATCCATCAAGGGTACAGTAAACTGACGCCTGGCAGCTGGCTGTGCGGCACCGAGGCCCAATGGTGTCAGCTCCGTGTGGGTGTGCACAGTGGCACCCGTCACCGGGCCTTCGCCGATGTGTGACCGATGACCTAGTCCAGCTATCCAGTGTACCCTGCATCCTGACCGAGTGGTCACCGCCGGAGAGCAGTGGCGCCGACGTCAGTGCCGACATCCCACGCTGCGTACGTACCGATCAGCTTGAGCGCCGCCGACATGAGTTTCTTGTTGTTGCTGTAGGGTATCTCGGGCAGGGTGAGCAGCACGGTCCGCATGCTGTCCGCCACCGACAGGTCGTCGTCGCAGGACTCGCCCAGTCCTGCACGGCCAACCACGTCACTCGCAAGCCGGACGAGGCGGGGTCATCACACAACTAACCCAGTCCTGCACGGCCAACCAGGTGATTCACAAACCGGACAAGGCGGGGCTATCACACAACTAACCCAGCCCTACACGGCCAACCGCATGATTCACAAGCCGGACAAAAAGGGGCTATCACACTACTAACCCAGCCCTACACGGCGAACCATGTGACTCACAGTTCGGACAAGGCGGGGCTATCCCACAACTAACCCAGCCCTGCACTGCGAACCACGTCACTCACAGGGTGGACACAGCAGGGCCATCACACGACTCACCCAGCCCTGCAGATCATGAGCACCAACGGGTGACGGCACACATCTGAACGGGTCGGTAACACCGGCCACACACGTGGTGCGATACAAACTACACATCAACCTTCCTACAATTTATCAATATAACAATGCGCCAAGGAAAAGGCTATACACCACAAGCCCATATGCGACGCATCCTGATAAAAAGCACACAAAAACAAAGCATATCATAACGGAAGCGATGTCCAGGCGCAATTGACTACCACCGCAGACAGGCGGACCGTCCGGCCGTTCGACGCACCCGTCAGCCCGTGCAGCACCGACTCCAGCGCCGGCCAGGCGCCCGGGTCCTCCCGCACAGCCTGCATGGCGCCGTGCAGGTAGATGATGAACGAGTTGAGGATGTAGTCGCCCAGCAGCGACTGGGTGTACGTCTGCAAGGGCCGACCGACAGCACGGTGAAGCACGACTGTCATCTACGGGGCGCCGGTAACAGCCAGCGGCGCGACACACGGCAAACAGCTCCACATTGGGCATACGCGGGGACGCTGCCTAATGTAAAACCACAAACTGCTGATCCCCGAAGCCGCAGCGGAAGCACAAGTCTCTGAATAGTGTGGAGCGGATTAAATGGCAAGAACTTTGCCTCCACATGCTAAGATGAGACTACACGATGTTCACGCGCAGTGCCTAGTCCTTCTTGCCTGCCCCACATAGGCGATACCAGTTTGCCGCAGGCGACACGGACAAACGTCAGCCGACACGAGTCCGCCGCAGTCGATACAGGTCTCTAACTCGGACCCACATACGGCCAACACAAGTCTCTGCAGTCCACGCAGAGCGCACCACAGTGGACAAAGGTTCGCTCGCGGCCCCTTTCTCGCCGGCGTCCGCCGCACTCACATAAAAGTCGAGGATATCCTGGCGGTAGCGGCGGAATGCTTCGGCCTCGTCCGAGCTGTACTCGCCCGGGTCCCTGGGCAGCATCGACTTCTGCACCATCACGTTGAGCAGCGAGCTGTAGACGGGGTGCAGCTGCTCGGTCAGCATGGCCTGGTGCTCGTCTGACGCCAGGATGTCGTCCTGTGGTGTAGGCGGCGACCGGTCACTGCCGGGCGGGCCCCCCACATGCCCCTCGCACACTCAGCGGACGTCCGCAGCCGTACAGACGGCAGGAGCGCTCGTCGACAGTCGACTCCAGCCCGGCCAGACACCGAACGCTGTGTTCCGATGCGTACCGTCGGCGCACATCAACGGCTAACCTTGCCCGACAGATGGCAGCGGCACTCGGTCGGTGTGCCGACAACACCGCAGCATGTGGTGTAACGTGCCTGCGGCTGTACCTGCAGCGGGTACCGTGTCAGGCGCTGGTGTGTACCGATATATACAGCGTGAGGTGTAACGTGCCTGCGGCTGTACCTGCAGCGGGTACCGTGCTCAGGCGCTGGTGTACCGTATCTACAGCGTGAGGTGTAACGTGCCTGCGGCTGTACCTGCAGCGTGTACCGTGCTCAGGCGCTGGTGTACCGTATCTACAGCGTGTGGTGTAACGTGCCTGCGGCTGTACCTGCAGCGTTTGTACCGTGCCAGGCGCTGTTGTGTGGTGTACCGTATCTACAGCGTGTGGTTGAATAACGTGCCTGCGGCGTACTGCGGCGTGTACCGTGCTCAGGCGCTGGTGTACCGTATCTACAGCGTGTGGTGTAACGTGCCTGCGGCTGTACCTGCGGCGTGTACCGTGCTCAGGAGCTGGTGTACCGTATCTACAGCGTGTACCGTGCCCAAGCTCTAGTGTACCGTACCCAGGCTCTGGTGTACCGTGTCCAGGCTCTGGTGTACCGTGCCCGGGCTCTGGTGTACCGTGCCCGGGCTCTGGTGTACCGTGCCCGGGCTCTGGTGTACCGTGCCCGGGCTCTGGTGTACCGTGTCCAGGCTCTGGTGTACCGTGCCCGGGCTCTGGTGTACCGTGCCCGGGCTCTGGTGTACCGTGCCCACTCTAGTACCGTACCCAGGCTCTGTGTACCGTGTCCAGGCTCTGGTTACCGTGTCCAGGCTCTGGTGTACCGTGCCCAGGCTCTGGTACCGTACCTGCAGCGTGTACCAGACGCCAAACGTGAGCTCGGAGACGGTCTCGTCGGTGGGATAGCGGCCAGGCACGGAGGCCAGCTCGAGGATGGCGGCGACAGTGCGGCGGGCCATCTCCGCCTGCTCGCCGCTGGGCCCGGCCAGCGCAGACACGAACGTGCGCGAGTGAGACGCCACCAGCGAAGTGAACACGTTGCCGAGCGCCACCAGAGACTCCTGGCGGCAGCGGCGAGCAGCTGTGTCGGCATCGGCGGGCCACAGCGGGACGGACCCTCGACACACAGCGTGGTCGCGTACTGGTGTTCCAGGAACGCCAACGGCCCGCTCTCACTCAGCGACCAGCTCAGTTAACTCAGTAACCAGATAGCCAGATTGCGACATTTTCTCTGGAAAAGGTGAGTGAAGGAAAGCTTGTCGCATTGAGCGTTTTTCGGTGGTAGAGAAACACGCACTATAATAAACCACGGCAGATTAAGCAGCATACATGACATGACGACTTGAGTGCAACGGTCCCAGTGCCATCGATTCATCAATGACGCGACGATTTGAAGATTCACCGGTGACCAATACGCAGGCAAGCAAGTGAAGCATTTGCATATTATAGACAAGGCTTACTGTGACATCAAAGACAGTCGGCATGTCCCTGAGGGTCGCAGCTCTCGCCGCGGCGAGTCAACAACGTACGGGCTCCTTTTCACTGACGAACTGTTTGATGAACGGCGCCAACGTGAGCACACGGCTGGCCAGCTGCATCACTGTGCTGGGGTAGTTGTAGTTGAAAGGACTAGTCACCACCCTGTCCATCATGTCCAACGTGACGCTGATCTGGCGGCACAGGCGAGGCGTCAGGACACGCCGACAGGGGAGAGCGGCGGCGCCCAGCACCGGCGCCGCACGTCCGAACAGGGCGGCTCGGCCACAGGCGCGGCGTCAGGACATACCGACGGGGGAGCGGCGGCGCCCAGCACCGGCGCCGCACGTCCGGACAACGCGGCTCGGCCACAGGCGCGGCGTCAGGACATACCGACGGGGGAGCGGCGGCGCCCAGCACCGGCGCCGCACGTCCGGACAGGGCGGATCGGCCACAGACGCGCAGCTGGCCCGCCGCACCAGACTGCACGGCGCCCTTGCTAACCAGACTGCACAGCGCCTTTGCTAGCCAGACTGCACGGCGCCCTTGCTAGCCAGACTGCACGGCGCCCCCACTAACCAGACTGCACAGTGCCTTTGCTACGAATGCTGAAGACGCGTGGGTGCAGTTAGTAGCTATCAGCAGCAATAAATGCTAGTAGCTATCAGCAGCGTTAGGTGCCAGTATAACTTATGATGCTTTACACAAAAAGCGAATAAAACTATCAGCCATTTTTAAATGCGCCTTTAGCCACAAGTACTAATCAGTTGATTACATTTCGGGCGATCCTGGAACTTTGGGCTGCGCCGTCACCGATGACATAATCAGCCAATCTTTCATTTCCAAAATTGGTTATGTAACCAAGCACAAAGTTACAACAGTCACAGCTTCAAAATAAAACCAAACGTTAGTAAACACGTTCTCCATGAAAAGCCAATAAGGAAACGACGCCAATTCGGATCCCACAACTTTCCAGTGTGAGCATGAGGCGCCCTACGTGGCCCGGAACTAGACCGCTGCTAGTCCCGACGCGGAAACGGTGGTCGGACGGCTGGCCAACTGACCAGAGCCGGCGAGGCGACAAACGGCACCAGCACCAGGTCCAGAATGGGCAGCAGGTCGGAGCCGAGCACCTCCAGCTCCACCCAGGAGGCCAGCAGCTCCATGCAGCGGCTGGCCACTTGCTCACTGGGCCCCTGCTTCAGCAGATTCAGCACCAGGTCCAGCACTGGAGCAGCGCCACAGATGGGTCAGCTACAGCCCCCTCCCCCCCGCAATACGGCCGATACGATACAGGTTCGGCGTTCGAGGTTAGAGTTCACGGCATAAGCTTGGAGTCGGCGTTCGCGACATCACCGGTGTCATCAGAACATAACCTCGACTGAGACTGCAATTCTGACACGATTGCAGGGCTCCGATGACCTTTGCCTTGGAGGTATGACTCTCCGGGCCGGGCTGCTCCAATTCAGCACAAAAATCACAGAAGATGCTTACCGTGCGGAATGTGTTTCTTTAAGCTTTCTTTTACCACCGCTCGCTTTGTTGTACTGATGTGGCATTTGTTAAGCTGAAAAGTAACACAACCTGGTAAATATTAAAATGGGCTTTTGCCAAATCAATTGCACTACACAAGTACAATGTAGCACATTACAAAGCACCATTAAAAAAACAAACAAAGTCCGCCAGCGGCACAGAAAAGACTCGAATACGCTGATGAGGGCAGTCAAGTGTACATATGTGAGCCACTCTAAGGCAGTCATGTTTCGTTGCTGGCTCCGCAGTGCTATCGCCCCCGGGAGGCCCACTGGGATCGGCGGATGTGTCATCATATCCAGAGGGCCGCGTGCCGTTCGCCGGGCTCGGTAATGAGGCCACCCGCGGCCCGGCAGCATATGACAGAAATGACAGCGGTGACGGGCCAGGACCGGGAGCCGGGCGAGCTCCACCCGACCGGACTAGGACCGGGAGCCGGGCCGAGCTAGGCCGGACCGGGCCAGGACCCGGAGCCGGGCCGAGCTCCACCCGACCGGGCTAGGACCGGGAGCCGGGCCGAGCTCCACCGGACCGGGCCAGGACCCGGAGCCGGGCCGAGCTCCACCGGACCGGGCTAGGACCGGGAGCCAGGCCGAGCTCCACCGGACCGGGCTAGGACCCGGAGCCAGGCGAGCTCCACCGGGCCGGGCCAGCCTACTGGGAGCCAGCAGCCTTATAAGTAGGGAGCCGTGTCTCGCGACGAAGCCCCACTGTGCTTGCACACCATACGGGAGTGAGCAAAGCATGACGGCAGGGCTGGTGACGAGGCGACAGCCAGCCAAGTGATTCACCGGCCCCAAAGTCCATCGCGCCTGCCGTCTGGACGCCTACGGCGGGGCGTGGGCGCACATCCAGCACCCTCTGTTTGCGCCCCCCCCCCCCCCCCCAAGCGTTGTGTGATCAAAACTGACGTCTTCCCACCGCCCCCACCTCATCAGACCACGCGACCCGCCACTCCGCACCCGTCCCCCCCCCCCCTCCCCCGCCGCCGCCAGCAACGCCAAACTATGTACGTCGCACACACAACAGAGAGGTCAGTCTCAAGGTCACAGCGACGCTGAGCTGTCCACTGAGCAATAGCCCGCGATAGGAAATCTCAGTAAAACCACAGCCGCCGCGCTCTGTACGCAGCGCACTGCGTCGTCACTCTCGCTCCATATCGTCAGCACAGGTCGCAGCATGTCCCAAGCGGCATGGGTCATGGACCTCTCAGGTGTGATCCGGTCGCAGCCGACAAAACGTCACCTCTTCTGCTCTGGCCCACCGGGGTCCTGACCCCGCGCCGAGGGAAGGTCGGATTCACTCAGCGTGGGTCACGGGCGAGGCGGGGCGGAGAGGCCGACCCCTACCTCGTTCGGCAGCTCGGTGAGCACGCTGAGCAGGACGCGCGCGCCCAGGTGGGCGTCGCCCAGCGCCTGGCAGGTGTGCGTCAGGTCGGGCACCACGTCTGGCCAAACATCCGGCGTCAGCTGCACCGCCAGCGCCGCCAGCTGCCGGACGGTGGCAGATGATGACGTCACGCGCACTGTCACCGAGGCGGTACAGACCGACAGCCGCAGACCACGGAGCGCGCGCGCGCAACCACCCTCCCCCCCCCCACACACAGCAGACACATGGTGCAGAGAACACAACAGACACAAGGCAAAGACACGGCACAGACGACACAGCAGACACATAGCACAGACAACACAGCAGACACACGGCAGAGACGACGCAGCTGACACATAACGCAGGCATGACATAAACGACATAGTAGACACATGGCGCAGACGGCACAGCAGACACGTGGTACAGACGACGCAGCAGACACATGGCACAGACGACACAGCAGTCACAGCAGTCACATGGCACAGACGACACGGCAGACACATGGTACAGGAGACACGGCAGACACGGGGGACAGGCGACACAGCAGACACATTGCACGGACGACACAGCAGTCACATGGCACATACGACACAGCAGACACATGGTACAGACGACGCGGCAGACACACGGTACAAACGTCACAGCAGACACATGGTGCAGACAACACAACAGAAACATGGCAAACATGGCACAGACAACACAGCAGACATATGGCACAGACGACACAGCATATACACGGGACAGACGACACAGCAGACACATGGTACAGACGACACAGCAGACATACGGCGCAGACGACACAGCAGACACATGGTACAGACGACACAGTAGACACATGGTACAGACGACACAACAGGCCCGCGGCAGACACGCCGTGCATGGTGCAGACTACTGGCCTCGCCCACACACAGGTCAATCACAGCACGCAGCCGCAGTCAAACACAGATCGGTCCCAGCACGGAGCCGCAGTTAAACACAGATCAGTTCCAGCACGGAGCTGCAGTCAAATGCAGATCGACCACAGCACGAAGCCGCAGCCAAACACACGAACCGCACGCCGACCCGGCCACGGCCGACCGTGGTCATGTTCGCTGCCAAAGGCGGATAGTAGCAGTCTTCTGTCACCGGCCGGCTCTGTCACCGCTGCAGCATCGAAGCCGTGCGCCTGACACGCAGCACGCACCACCAGCAGCCCAACAACACAAGAAACGCTGTCCGGGCCGAGCCAGCCTCCGACGGACACCAGCCAAGCGCAGGCCTTACCGCTTCGTTGAGCGTGCGCGAGCACGAGTCCTGCTTGGTCTGGGCGGCCACGGTGCTCTCCAGGAGGCGCGCCTTCAGCGGCACCGCCTGCTCCGGCGGCAACTCTTCCCAGTGCTCGCGGATCTTGTCCCGCAGGAACGAGGCGCCCAAAAACTGCTCGGCCGAGCTCTGAAAGCGCGCCCGGCCGCGGTCAGCGCGACCCGGAGCGCCGGCCGCCGGCGTGACGTCGTTCCGGGGACGGCGTGTGAAGAGCCGAAAGCGGCTGCGTCACGGCCAGTGCTTCCGCTGGGGTCCGCAGATAGTGCCCATGGCGCGGCCGCCGCCGGACGGGGAGACGACCGCACCCCCTCCCCCGACGACCATCCAGTCCCAGCCTTACACCGTGGCTGGGACTGGGCAGAGCTGCAGCTGAACCGCGACATCACGCGGAGAGGGATACGAGGTACGAGGACATGTAGTCTTCGACATGATTACAACACATCAGCAGACCCGCGCGGACATCCACGGCAGCGGGCTCCTGTCAACAGCAAGGACGACCCGATCTGGGTTCCAACGCACAACGGCGAGTTACCAAGCCAGGTCACGCAACATGTTATGAGGAAGAAAACGGGGCGAGCAGACCAGGCAGCATCGCGCTAATGGCGACAATCACCATTCGGATTTTGGGGAACGTCGATAGCTGCGGCCAACTGACGCCCATAGTGGCGTTCAGGCGAGAAGTGGCGTCAGTGGTGGGCATGGGGGGTGTCAATCGCTGAGAACTGCCGCTGCTTGAGAGATAAAAACCACCGACGCGAACAAGGAGATAAGTCATCCAGATAATGCGATAACAGATCATCGTCGGAGTTTCCCGACCGACCTTACGCAACCACGCTGCCTTTTAAGTGGATACGACTGTATCACGTCGTTAACGGTAAGTGGCCCATCACAGTGAAGGCAACATAGCAGATCTTCATCTCGTAACAGACACCAAAGGGTGGCATCGCACGAGTATTTCCGATTCACTGCAAAGGGGCACTACCTTCTTTCTGTCGTGGGTGAACACAATGTCCCAAGTGTGGTCTTCCTTCTCGCAACATCTTTCCCATATCACCCTAGATCGTGACCATTTGCCTTGATACCCCGGCTGTGATAGGATGGTAACAGTCTGGCAGCATCAACAGACATGCGACAGGGGTCCGCGTGCTGCCTGCTTCGCAGCAGACATGCGCCAGGGGTCCGTGTGTTGTCCGTATTGCAGCAGACATACGGCAGGGGCCCGTTTGTTGTCCGTATTACAGCAGACATGCGCCAGGGGTCCGTGTGTTGTCCGTATGCAGCAGACACGCGCCAGAGGTCCGTGTGTTGTCCGTATTGCAGCAGACATGCGCCAGGGATCCGTGTTTGGGTGCAAGCGCTAACATATCAGCACGCCAATGAATACGTCCGCATACTACACGTAAGTCTAAGACTGCAGGAGCAGTTGTATTTCGGCGCTACAGATCTTGATGACAATCCCCTACATATTCCAGCCATGCAACTGCCAAATGTATGCCATAAATCAGTCTGTCGCATTTCACTACTTGTGGCTTTCCTTGACTCTTACGAATGGCGGCCTCACTTTACTTATTTGCTATAAGCATAACCTTGGTGGAAAAATCCACCATCCAGTATACAAAGTGTGCATCAGTTTGTTGCAGTCACCGGAGCCTAGATAAGACAGTGGTAATAGCCTTATTCCTCGAAGAAAACCCGGAGAATGAAGATATATATATATATATATATATATATATATATATCTTGATATTTCGACAACATGTCTTTATCGAAAAAAGCAGAAAATCGTTTGCGTTTCGTTTCGATAAAGGCATGTTGCCGAAATATCAACGCATCTTTATCTTTATTCTCCTGGTTTTTCTCCAATGAATAAGTCTATTACTAGTCTTATCTATGTTAACAATATTCCCCACAAATGCACTTCACAACTTATGTAACCGGGACATCGCGGAATCCAGGATTGCATTCCAACTCCTCTGAGGTCATTTCATTAAAAAAGTAGCAGGATTAACATCACCTGGCGTCGGTAACCCATCCGACACTAGTCTTCCGCCAAATGCATCCAAACATGCCGACATGCATTTGAAACAAACCCGGTGGGCAGACATTCCTAAGAGGCGGTGCACTTTATAAGGCTCAGTGCTATAATGCCCGAGATCGGGGCGTCGGCATGATTGGCGAGAGGAGGGCGGGGAGACGGCACGTCTGACCACCGCCAGTGCGCGGCGGCATCCATCCAGCGCGCGCGCCAGCACCAGCGGTGCGGGAACATGCCACCGTTACATGGCGTTCTGACCGCAGACATATGCTTATATGGCGGTGGTCGTCGCCGCGGCCGGAAGAGGTGACCGCCGACGCGGGCGCCGCCTTCCGCAGCGTCACCGCTATCGGGCGCTGGGGGTCCATCCTCTCCCGGGTGCATAACAGAGCGGACGGCGTCGGCCTGCAGCCAGTTCCGCGCGCTGCTGTGTGGACGCCACGACGGAGAGAGATCGTCCGACACACGACCGGACTAGCCGCACCCTCAGGTGAGCCAAGCGGGCGGAGGACGGAGAGATATCACCGACACACGACCGGACTAGCCGCGCCCTCAGGTGAGCCGAGCGGGCGGAGGACGGAGAGAGATCGTCCAACACACGACCGGACTAGCCGCGCCCTCAGGTGAGCCGAGCGGGCGGAGGACGGAGAGAGCACACGGCCGGACTAGCCGCACCCTCAGGTGAGCCGAGCGGGCGGAGGACGGAGAGATATCACCGACACACGACCGGACTAGCCGCGCCCTCAGGTGAGCCGAGCGGGCGGAGGACGGAGAGAGCACACGGCCGGACTAGCCGCACCCTCAGGTGAGCCGAGCGGGCGGAGGATGGAGAGATATCACCGACACACGACCGGACTAGCCGCGCCCCCAGGTGAGCCGAGCGGGCGGAGGACGGAGAGAGCACACGGCCGGACTAGCCGCACCCTCAGGTGAGTCGAGCGGGCGGAGGATGGAGAGATATCACCGACACACGACCGGACTAGCCGCGCCCTCAGGTGAGCCGAGCGGGCGGAGGACGGAGAGAGCACACGGCCGGACTAGCCGCACCCTCAGGTGAGTCGAACGGGCGGAGGACGGAGAGAGATCGTCCAACACACGACCGGACTAGCCGCGCCCTCAAGTGAGCCGAGCGGGCGGAGGACGGAGAGATATCACCGACACACGACCGCATTAGCCGCACCCTCAGGTGAGCCGAGCGGGCCGAGGACGGAGAGATCACACGACCGGACTAGCCGCGCCCTCAGGTGAGCCGAGCGGACGGACGACGGAGAAAGATCCCCGACACACGACCGGACTAGCCGCGCCCTCAGGTGAGCCGAGCGGGCCGCGACCCCGACAATGCGGCTCACGTGCCACACCGCTGCTGCAGTACACGCGCCGTCGCGGCGCCAGCCTGCAGCGGGACGGCATGTATCACAGGCGCGTGATGGGCGGCGGAGGTGCTGACGCGTGGCCACTGTCGGACAGTGACGCGCCAAGGCGCGGTGTCGCTGCCAGCCCACGGCGTGATGGCCGGGGATTCAACGTGAGCAGCGGGAGCGTTCACGCCGCAGCCAGGCGCCCGACGAGACGCGCCCTGTCGCTCCCTCGCTCCCGGCCGTGTGACACCTGACGGTAGCTGCGCGTCGTGCGTGTGCCATGATTCGCGCAGTCTCAGCAGCGCTGTGGGGTCCCGCAGGCCAACCCGATGCCCGCGATGTGCGCGCCGTCTTCGGACGACCTGCTGCCGCGGCTGGACTTCGCCGACATCATGCCGCTGGTGTCGGCTGTGCTGCAGCGGTGGGGCGGCGCGCTGCCCGTCCCTCGGCCCTGCCCGATCGCCCGCCTGCACAAGGTCTCGCGAAACCCCGGTGAGAAAGCGTGGCGTCGTGAATACACCGCCAGTCTGGCTAGGACGACTCAGTCCCAAAATGCAACGCACGATTTAAAACAAGTCCCGCCGGGTGCAGAGCGTCACCTCTGGAGACCCGCGGCCTGAGAGTGCGCGTCATGACCTGGTCAGCAGACATCTTATCTCGTCGTACGCAGACAGCGCACGCCGTCCTGTCCGGTTATAACCGCCTGTGAAGTTGGCACTGGGCGGTGCGCCCGACGGAGAGGTCCGAGTCAGGGACGCGGCGCCCCCGCCCGCCACGTGCCGTGCGTGACGCGGCCCTCTGTCGCCAGGGATCGGGCCGGGCCCGTGCCGGCGGCCGTGCTGCACGCCGCTGCTGACCGTCATCCGGCAGGACCTGACGCCGGCGCAGCGCCGCCAGCTGCTCGACCGCGTGCGAGACCTGCTCAGCGCGCTGGGCGTCAGCTGCCTGGCGCAGGCGCGCCACATGCTCGCCGCCCGCAGGGACGCGCGTAACGCGGTGCTGTACGAGCTGGACCAGCTGGTGGCGCGGTACCAGCTCCAGTAGCGCGCCGATCGGACGCCGCAGCACCTGAGTCCAGTACACAGTGGGGCCGGCTTTGCCACGGGGCCGGTGAATCGCGTGTGAAGACGCATGCGGGCTCCTGCCGATCGAGGATGACGCAGTGCATGACGAGTCTGGCGATCCAATGGTCTAGTTTGGTTTGGCCATTCACGAGACTGCTCAGACACCCGCAGTGCGACGAAATGCATTGATTGCTGCTTCGCCTTGCGTGGCATGGCCTGTTCACTAGTCAAGGCATGTTCCTCAGCGCAATACCTGGCCACGGTCAGGACGGACGGAAAGGCCGGTGCCAGTGCTGAGTATCACATGTGGTAAATGTTTGAATGTGTGCGTCGCGTGTCGTTATGTAGTTATCATCGTAATGAGGGGGGGGGGGGGGGGTGACGAAACCCATCGCGTGGAGATCTCAAAAATATATGGGCAATGTACATGTGCAACATGTACAATGTACATGTACCTTATAATGATGACAGGAAACGGTAATTTTGAGTAGGTCTGCCTACAGATAGGCCACACGGCCACGTCACTAGCTTACTTGAAATTTGAGGAGCAGACTTAGAACATACGCTCACGACAGCTTAACACGCCATGCACAAAATGAAGGCTTAAACATTAAGCGTAAGAGCTGAAACCTTAGTTTTCCTGAAAAAATTCAGCGTTCACGCCCGCAAATTTTGCAGCTTCCCTGGCAATGACAGAAGACAGCAGCCCAGCGTGCGACGCCACCAGTAGTGCATATGGCGATAGCCGACTGGTGCGGCCTCCAATCCGGTGTGGCCAGACTAGCGCGGTCTCCGCTCCGGTGTGGCCAGACTAGCGCGATCTCCGCTCCGGTGTAGCAGGGGAGGTGCCTGGTGCAACCCCGACCTTACCAGACGTGAGCAGCTCCCAGGCTGCCGGGCGCAACACTGACCTTGTCAGACGTGAGCAGCTCCCAGACCGCAGGGCGCAACACTGACCTTGTCAGACGTGAGCAGCTCCCAGACTGCAGGGCGCAACACTGACCTTGTCAGACGTCAGCAGCTCCCAGACCGCAGGGCGCAACACTGACCTTGTCAGACGTGAGCAGCTCCCAGACTGCCTGGTGCAACATTGGCCTTGTCAGGCGTGAGCAGCTCCCAGACCGCAGGGCGCAACACTGACCCTTGTCAGACGTGAGCAGCTCCCAGACTGCCGGGCCGCAACACTGACCTTGTCAGGACGTGAGCAGCTCCCAGACTGCCGGACGCAACACTGACCTTGTCAGACGTGAGCAGCTCCCAGACTGCCGGACGCAACACTGACCTTGTCAGACGTGAGCAGCTCCCAGGCTGCCGGGCGCAACACTGACCTTGTCAGACATGAGCAGCTCCCAGACTGCCTGGTGCAACACTGGCCTTGTCAGGCGTGAGCAGCTCCCAGACCGCAGGGCGCAACACTGACCTCGTCAGACGTGAGCAGCTCCCAGACTGCCGGGGGTAACACTGACCTCGTCAGGCGTGAGCAGCTCCCAGACCGCAGGGCGCAACACTGACCTTGTCAGACGTGAGCAGCTCCCAGACCGCAGGGCGCAACACTGACCTTGTCAGACGTGAGCAGCTCCCGGACCGCAGGGCGCAACACTGACCTTGTCAGACGTGAGCAGCTCCCAGGCGAAGTCCCAAGCCTGTGGCGACACCTTGGCGTCCGTCAGCCAGCGGCTGGCCGCCTGCATGGCCTCCGGGTTCGCTGAGCCATACAGCTGGCGGATCGCTTCACGGACGTTGGCCAGCGTCACCGGCAGCTGGCCCAGCTCGCTGGCCATGGCTGTGGGCACCGCTCCGCCCCGATCTGTGGCACAATGGTGGCCAGCATTAGATGAGGGAGGTCTGCATGCTGAAGTCCATGATACTGCTGAGGCAACTGCGTGCCAATGTTGCGGACTGCTGCACCCAATACCACTATAACAATGCGCAGGATATTACGCAATATAAACAGGCCTATGCTTATGTTATGCACAATACAGAATAGTGATGTGATGGTGGGCTTTAAACTTTGCAAATGTTACAGAGACTAGCTCCCTCCAGCCAAGTCAAGTTCTATATTTTCTACGAATCGTTCGGTATGCATGGCTTAATGTTTGATTCTAGACAATGGGTTACAAGTTCCACGACACAAACGAAGATGCGGCGACTATGATGATGCGTCAAGAGGATGAGAAAGGCCTTCAACGTTCAACGTCACCCAAACCCCTCTTCTTCACATTGGTCAAGTTTAGATCTGAGCCCAGCACGATTTCGGGATGTGTGTGTGTGTGTGTGTGTGTGTGTGTGTGTGTGTGTGTGTGTGTGTGTGTGTGTGTGTGTGTGTGTGTGTGTGTGTGTGTGTGTGTGTGTGTGTGTGTGTGTGTGTGTGTGTGTGTGTGTGTGTGTGTGTGTGTGTGTGTGTGTGTGTGTGTGTGTGTGTGTGGTGTGTGTGTGTGTGTGGTGTGTGTGGTGTGTGTGTGTGTGTGTGTGTGTGTGTGTGTGTGTGTGTGTGTGTGTGCGTGCGTGCGTGCGTGCGTGCGTGCGTGCGTGCGTGCGTGCGTGCGTGCGTGCGTGCGCGTGCGTGCGTGCGTGCGTGCGTGCGCGCGCGGGCGTGCGTGCGTGCGTGCGTGCGTGCGTGCGTGCGTGCGTGCGTGCGTGCGTGTGTGTGTGTGTGTGTGTGTGTGTGTGTGTGTGTGTGTGTGTCATTGGGGCTTTACGACGCTCTCAGCTGCTGAGGCTATATGGCGTCACCTGCCTCTCACCCTGGCAGGAAGGACGGGCACCACGGGGAATCGAACCCCGTACCTCTGATTCCCCAGACGCGTAATGGTTAACGCAGACGCGTAATGGTTAACGCAGACGCGTTAACCACGACAATACCGGCACCCTCTTCGGGATGTCATAATGATCGGCGGCAGGTGGTTCCAGGACCGCCACCTGGCCACGAGGGAAATTTAGAGCTCTGAAAACGCCAATGTGGTCGCGGAGCGTAACGAGGTCACTGATTCCGCGCCAGCTCAGCGACCTGACGACCGGTGAAATATTATCTCGACCCCACCCCCCTCGACGATCCTGGCCACGAAATTCATTATTTTCTGCACCCGGCCGGGATGGCAAGCGGCAGCTCCGCCCCAGACTGAGAGGCAGAGGCAGAGGCGTGATGTTGGGGAAACAAGGGTCTGGATGAGGAGTATGCGAGCTTCGGGTGTGAGATGATGACAAACTTTGTACAGACAAAACAAGATCGAGTTGCACTTTAAACTACTTTGGGTAGGAGCCACTTCCGGGGAAGGGTACGATCGATAGTCATTCCCGACATCTTCACGGACAGCGAGGGGGCTAATCTTAAGTTGGAGGTGTTAAGATGGAAGGATGCTTGGGGCGTGCCAGTTACAAAACGGGTAGTCTTGGTGGGGTTCATCCACAGGGAACTGGCAGTAAAGTAGAATTGAAGGGCCAGGATGGTTTCTTACTGACACAATTTTTGGGTCGACAAGTGGTCGGGGCGGGCGGAGTCGGGGAGTTGGGTATCGTCAGCGCGGGAAATAAGACGCCCGCGAGGCAGGTGGGATGAAAGATCATTGATGCAGACGCTGAAGATGATTGGGCCTACCAAGGGCCCCTGATGGACACTGTGGGACAAGGGAAGGAATGGTGAACACCTCTCACCGCCTGCCGCCATTCATTAAGACAACTTTTAAACTATCGTGGATCGAAGCCGTGCCACTGCAGCTTCGGCAGGAGGACGCCGCGGTTCACGCTGTCGAAAACTCGACTTAGGTCTACGGAGGTGACGGCGGCGACATGTCCAGAGTCGATCCGACGCGTAATCCACTCCACGGCGTCAACCACAGGGTCCTCCGTTGAGTGGCACGGCCTACACGCATACTGTGAAGGGGCCAAGAGGACGTGGGCATCAAGATGAGACAACAACTACTGACGGACAACCTCTCGACACATATGTATGTTTTCGACAACACAGCTAAAATTGATTTAGGCCAAAAATTGCTGGCAACGTCGTGTGTACCAGACTTGTGGAGGGAATGAACTGAAGCTTAATTCCCCGCACAGGAAAACGCGCGTGACAATGGAAGAATTAACTACATGAAGCGAGTGGGTACCTATTAGAGCCAAACAGTTTTTTACCGCAAGCAGGCACGCCATCGACAACCACAGCTCTAGATGAAGACTCTCTCATAGCCATCTCTCAACTCACTCATAGCCTTTGAAAGCTCGGGTAGGGCCGTAGGACGTAATACCAGCCCAGCTGCGGCTACGCACGGTGGCCTCTGAGGGAGAGACGGGGCCCACGGCTGCTCGCCAACAGCTCTGCCGCGATTTTTGGACCAACTGAGGCAAAATGACGGTTAAAATTGTCGGCCATGTCAGAAGACTTCCTCCGCGCCACCTTCCCCTGGCGGGTCCAAGCGCAAACTCACGGACACTCCGCCAGAAACTAGCCCGGTCGGAAAACATACTAGCGCATAGAAAGTCGCGCTTGGCCTGAGCGCAGCAGCCCTTAGCCCGGTTTAACAGACGCCGATATTCAATGCGGTCGGTCTCCGTATCGTACCTGCGCCATGACCGGTAAGCGTGGTCGCCCTTCCGCATCACACACAGCAGACCGGGATTATCCCCAATCCAGGGACAGCGTGGACGGCGGGGTGTCACTGTTTTCAGAGGACAGTGCGCATCCATGGCGCCTGACCCGGCGCACATGAACTCCTCCAGCTTTCCCGCCACGCCCACGGCCCGGCACAACGGGTCCCAGTGTGCCTGCGGCAAATGCAGGCTGAGCACGTCCCAGCAGACTTTGCGCCAGGAGCGAATACGAAAAAAAAAACAGGAGGCAAATGCTGCCGCCTGAACGGGGCACGAACGCTGGTGGTGAGATGGTCTGCAATCGCCACCGGCAGCACAAGAGCGGGGTCCTCCAGTTTCAGCATGCTGGTAACGACGTGGTCCAGGAGAGTAGCGGCCGGTTCCAAATGGATCAGTGTGTGAATAAGCTGCACAAGACTCAGACCATTTAAAATGGGCATGCAGCCATGCGCAGATGGGTTGTTGAGACGCATTAAGCCAATGTTAATATCACCGAGATAAAAAATGCCTCCTGATGGCAGCAGTTGCTCTCAGCTGATCATGTATCTCGTCAAGGCCGCCCGACGTCAGGTGAGACGGAAGACGATAGACAGCGTCCACGGTGACCGAAAGCTGCCTACTGCCACTCAGTGACATGCACAATGACTCACATGCTGCAATGGCTCTGGAGATGGGGGACATGCTGCAGTTTGGATGTTCCTAGCACAAGACTGCAACACCACCACCGCTCCTCTTCCCAAAGTGACCCTTCAAGCTCAATTGATTGCATGGAAATAATCAAGAATACACACAGTGGCAAAATGAATTTGTTACAGCTTTTTGGTAACAACAAAAATGTTTCATCTCCTCCATTTGTGGTTCAGAGTAAGTTGAACATACATTGACATGACACCTGCTGGCATCAGACAACATTTTTCCCTTACGCTGGTGGCCCGCTATCCTTAAGGCTGGTGGCCCATGTGCCATATCATGGGTGGGGCTTGGAAAAGACCATGTGATGCTTGTGAACCTTTTGGTTGTGAGTCCTCTTCAGTGCTACCCTCCATGGCTTCTGTGGGGTACTACTGGTGTTTTGTGACAAGATGGGGAGAAGAACTCACTGGAGGCTTGAGTCAATAGTCTGAAAAAGACCATAACTAGAAGGTTCCAATAACACTCCAATGCTTTCTAGGGATACAGACTATACAATATGGTAATTAGGCCATCATCCTATGTGATTCACAAAGGTTTCCCTGTCCACCATGTAGCAAACCCTTTGGGTTTCCATCATTTCCTTCAAAGATAGCTGTATGCAGCTTGCATGCAGTTTTACTGCAATTAACCCAAGGAATAGCTGCACTCAAAAATTTACAATTGCAAATTTGAACTTAATCATGCAGAGGTACTAGCTATATTTTTATGACAAATATGATATATTCAGTAGGATCTTAAGCCATGCTTTACCTATACAGATAAATCTAGAAGTAGTTTTTGTAGGTCCCAGGCCACCTTGACACTCATGTCTACACATGTTCATTCTATCAGTGACATAATCAGCTGAAGCATGCATAAGGGACTCAGACCCATGATTATTAGGAGACCCACAGTTTTAAATGAACACATGCCCTTGGCAACAATGTACCTTCAACCTGATTTGGTATATATATATATATATATATATATATATATATATATATATATATATATATGATAGTATTTGATAGGTCTAATCCTGACACCAGTCATGGAACAAAAGCATGCCCACTGTACACAAACATGTGTAAATGCTGAGGAAAGCTGTGGAAGCTTCCTGGATTTAATAAGAAAAGTTGTGTATCAAAGCATCAAACAATAGAACACACAATACAGAACACCACTATCCAAAATCAACCAGCAGATACCCAATATAAGCAGGGTGGAATGTTGTGCAAGAATGTAGTTGGTGGTATTATTTATTTTCACATTTACTGTCTATTTTTTAGTGCATTCAATGCAGTTGCATAGATCTATAGTACACATCTGCTTTTGTAAGGGCATTTAACCATTTGGTCAAGGTGGATATTTGTACCAACTTTATGAAAACAGGTTCCACATAAATTACCCCTTTCAAGCTAGAAAGCATAATAATTTATCATAAAAGGGGACATCTTGCCCATCAGTTACAATCTTGCCTCCAAAATAGAAAGATTACCAGCACTAGAGCAGATGTCTATATATATCACTGATAGCATGATACCGACAAATCATGGCTGGCATTTCCTTTTCATGGACTTTTTGTGTACTGATGGTCACTTGGTCAATATGGCAAAATAATTCAATAGCTTAGTATGGTGGAAATATATCATTTTGCAATATAGATATGCTTTCAAACTGTCCAACCCAAGTTACACCCACATGTCAGTTTCTGATTAACTTAACTGAACCCTAATCCTAATTCTAAACTTAACCCAACCCTGAACCTACCCATATTCCCACCTCTACACCTACTTCTACTCCTACTTATTGCCATACTTGTCATTTCTCACCCCCTTACCAACTGTGGCTGTACCATTAATGCAGTGTGATATTGAAATTGCTATTGTATTTCTACCATATTAACACAGCATATCAAGCTGCTGCATTCACCAGTTAAAGCTCAGTATGCAAAAGTTGAAACTGCTGTGAAACACAAATGCTGATTTGATTTGTATGAATGACCTCCATGCACCAGTAATGTACTGCCACTGTTATGCATCAGATACCTGTCATTATTATCATAATTTGTCTAAATCATAATATATCATATCATATAAATCTTACCATAAATTGTCTAATGGCCAGTTCATACAGAATGTAGCTATGAAATAGGTCAAAATGTTGATAATTCCCCAAGTGGATCATGCATAAGTACAAAAGGCACCCTGGATGGCCAGAAAATAAATATCAACTGTGTATCATTGTTGTGTATCTTCTGAAATGGCATGAGGAAGCACACTGCTCATACCAAAATTGCAAATAGTATGCAATATGGCTGCAAAGAGTATGGCTGCTCATAAAAAATGGCATCATTTTGAAAATATCTGCTGTCATCACCAAAAAAAGCAGCACTGAAAGCTATTTGACTCGTAAATCTGTCTTGTAAAGGTTTGCAATTTACTAACGGGTAAGACCCAGCGCAGTACTGGAATCTCAGCAACATACCTACCCCTCACACAGTATGTTCCTCACTCCCAAACGTCAGCCGGCAGGCTCATAAAATGGTTGACAATGACACCTTATCTCGTTGTAACGCAACGCAGGAACGCAAGTTGAAAACGTCGTACGCACGAAAAGCGACCCGGCCAAGACTTAAGGATTGATGCGTGTTTATTCCTGCAGATATTGAAACGCCACTGGTGGATAAAATCTGCTGCAAAGCTGCCAAATAGTCTTCGGGGCAAAATTAATTGGGCAACCAGAGTGACCACTAACACTTCCAGCTGATTGTATGGTGACGTCACAAAGTCACAATCGCTGTCAACTTGGTGATAGCATGTGCAGCTAAGCACGGCAAGTCATTGATGGAGTCTGGGCGCTTCCCGTCATATGACGGTCACTACTAGTAGGACGGCAAATGATGACTGAAAGTTATGTGCTGTGAGAATAGGTTCATGGCTTACTGCATGATCTCTGAGATGAAGATGAAATGAGGCAGGATGGCAACGAGCGTGACCCGATAGCACGGGTGTCGATTTGTATCTTTTAGGGTAAGCCACTGCCCCCCTCCCCCTCCCATGTCCAATTTACCCCCTTCCTCAGCGGTGAGCCTGGTCTCCGCTAAACTTCTGTAGCCTAAGTACCAGCAGGGCATTAACACATGCCCGGTTGGCCGGCTGGATACCCCTCCCCAGGTGTGGGGGGTCAATTTGACCTCTCTGAGATCTTGAGAACTATGAGGGCTAGAGGCACCCAATTCACAGGGTATGTTGACCTGTGCGTGAACTCACTTAGGTCAAAGTTTGAGGCTCCTAGCCTTCGTGTCAAATAAGGTCAAGGAAGGTCAGATTCCAGGCTGGTCTCCAAAGTGCCCCCAGAACCTAAATAACAGGTTCTAAGCAAAAGGTCACATTCTCATTTAAGGTCAGTGACCTTGCTTGACCTTTTGACGGTCATGGTGGCCAAAATCATATAAGACTGCTCTGAGTTTTGCGTTTAAATAAGCGACAAAGATTATGCTAGGCAGTATGCCCATAAAAACCCAATGTTAACCTGGGTCATTTCAGGTCAGTGTCCTATTCTGACCTCTAAGAAGTCCGTGGAAGATGTAGAATGTGATTCCTGCTATCAATAAATTTGAAATGAGCACCAGAAGCTATCGCATACAGCAAGCCCTAGAGTAATAAAACGGGCTTGTTTTGACCTTGGTCTGACCTTCACACTTGACCTTAGGTCAACGCAATTTGCTCATTCAATTGTTGTGTTGTCTGAGAAAGTGTTTCAGAGATGTATGGTTTCGTCTAACACTTCGTTGTTGCATCAGATTGAACGATTCCCTAGAAACTGGATTCGCTGAAATCATGGCCTGACTTTGATCTGCCATAGGTCAGCGCCTCACAAGGTACATCTAAGAAGTTTTCGCCAAACGATCCGCTAATCAATTGTTTATAGTCATGCGAAATTTAGCGCGGCTACACCGCGCTGTTCGAAAACCATTATGAAATACCTTCGCGGGGGTCAATTTGCCCCCCCCACGCGTTAGCGCGTGTTAAAAATGGTGGCTCAGAATTATATTAATTTTAAAGACGGCTTTTACTGATCGCTTCGCACGGAAAAGGAACAAAAAAGTGCAAACTAAGTTGTCATGTTCAATTGAGTGCAGCTGTCTGGGCTACTCACACTTAAAAAGCTTTACGTTCGTACTCTGTTTACTTGAGTCCTATCTTCTGTTCTTGCGTGCTGCATGATTTTGATCACGAAATTCATACGTATCATTGACTGGCCTAGTTGTGTGCTATTGTCTGAGTGTTTTGCTATCATTTAGCAATGTTTTAGCTTCTGCAGGCTGCAACGAGTTGCATTATTTTGCCACGGTGTCAGAAGTTTTATTTAAAATTAAAAACAAACCCGTGCAATATTAGGGCCAGAAAACGTGACCAACTTGATTTTGCTATCATTTAGCAATGTTTTAGCCTCTGCAGGCTGCAACGAGTTGCATTATTTTGCCACGGTGTCAGAAGTTTTATTGAAAATTAAAAACAAACCCGTGCAATATTAGCGTCAGAAAACGTGACCAACTTCAAAAGCTATCTACGGTTGGAAGAGCCCTTGAAATGTGCAGGCGTTCACTTCCACGTGGACACCAGCTGCCTAAACCGATAGCAGTAACCATCCGACAATGACAACCAATACAGCACTAGCCGTGTCAGGCGTGCCGAACATAAGTGTCGCGCTGTTACCTGCGTCCCATCTGGTGAATGCCAGCCGGAGGTTTAAGTGACAGCAATAGTATATAATAGTCATAGTAGGTAGTATAATAGTCATAATAGCCATGAACCTAGTATATAATAGTCACATAGTCATAGTCAATGTAATGGTATATAATAGTATATAGCAGTCTTTAATAGTTGCGTACATCAGTTAACGCTCTTTTTCCCCGAAGCCATCCTACAACCGTCCTACAACGTTCCCAGCCACCCGTCCTACAACGTTGGCAGCAGCATGCAGCAATAAACGTCAAGTTCCGAAACCTAATTTTGACGATAGATGCCAATCAAAATGACTACGACGCCCAACAATAACAACTTCCGCCGAGAAAGAGTTGGAAAACGTATAAGAGCAGAAGACAGTGATGTTAAATGTTTTTAGGGCTAGGTTTTCCCCGTTCAGCCCTTCTCCCTCCCTCAATCCTAATTTGCGAAACACGCCCCTGTGGTGGAAGCTTAACGACTGTGACACACGACCGACTCGCCGCCAGATGACACTGGCGCCAAGTCTGGGACCAAGAGTCCATTTCCCAACAGAGCCAAGACGAGAGCACGCGATTTTTATTAGTCGGGGCTCCTGAGTCAATGAGAGCCCCTTTGTTGGTCAGGGCACCACACCGCCCAACAGGGGTCTCGTATTTGCAAGGGACACAGACTCGGCCTGAACAGTGTTCAAGGGACCTGCAGAGGAGCCCTAAGGGCCTCTTGGGACCGACGATCAAATGCTTAATTGGAGGGCACGAAGGGTCAAGTACTGTAGGTCATATTAAGGACTCCAGCCAGCAGGAACGGGCCCTCAAATGTCAGTCAGATGGCTTCTTGCACCGATTGAGGACCTCTGGAACACTGAGGGCCCCCATTTCGGCCAAAGATTACCAACACCGAACAATCGGCTCCGTGTCGGTCTGAGCCCTGAACCCATTTCCCAAACAGGGACAGGGTCGGGATCCGCGATTAGCATTGGTCAGAAGTTTGGGACCCTGAAACAATGAGGATTCATTTGTCTCTCAGCGACCCACAGTGCATGACAGATGGTTCTCTGTCGGCAGGACGCCCTGGGTCCGCCAGGGGAACTTATGCTGAACTGGGTCAAGGACGGGACCCCGAATGCCAGAGCACCTTTTGCGTTGGTCGGGGCTCTCTGGCAATAAAGGGAGATATGACAACATATGACTAGAGTATCCGATAAGACAATTGATAGGCCCTGTGTCAGTCAGGGCCCCGAGCGAACCGAGGCCCTCCACTCCATTCCAGCCAAGTTCCGTCGAACTGGAGTCTTTGTGCCAATTATTTGATCACCTGCGGCGATAAGGTTGTCGCGTCAATGAGGGCTCTTGTGCCGATTCGAGTTCCAACTGCCCGGGTCAGAGGCCCTCCGGCGTTAGGCAGACGACCAATGTATGATAGGTCCCACTAAGGGCTTGCGTATCGACCAGGGGACATTGCCCCTTTACCAACGGCATTACAGCCGGCAGGCACCACGCTCTGTAACGAAAAGTTCCCCTAGTCCTGGACCGGACGTAGAATGTGCCCCTTCCAATGCTCTTTCCACTGGACCCTTTGCCCGGAAAAGGTAAGGGGTTTTCGTAGTGCCCAATAGGGTTCATCAAAATCAAGT